ACTACTAGCTATCTATCGATCCCACGATAGCGAAGGCTAGAAAAAAGATTGAATGAGGTCATTAACATTTCCTCCTTGACTTCAGTTTTGGAATATTTTCTTTGGAAGTTGAACAAATTTGGTGTATGTGATGGATTTAGGCAATGAAGCACCCCCAAAGAAGACTAGTAGCATGTTATATATATCCTTACCTACAATATCCCAACACCCCTGATAGGAGATGCTAGTGAACCCATCAGGACCACTAGTACTAGCACCAGTTAATGCAAATACAACCCCTTTCACCCCCTCAATAGTTGGATACATGCAAAGCTCTATTTTCTGCTCAAAAGACACCCATTGAAGGGACATTATCAAGTAGTTCAAAGTTAATAGGATCTCCTTCTTGTGTGAATAAGTTCTGAAAAAATTCCATAGCAGCATTAGAAATTAGATCTTGAGTTTAAGCCGGTCCCATCTCCATTTGGATCCATTTCAATTGCATCTTCTCTTTTTAATACCATTCACTTGATTGTGGAAAAATTTAGTGTTCCTATCTCCTTCAGAAAACCAAGTCATATCTGCCTTCTGCTTCCAATATTGTTCTTTTATTCTCAGATACTTCTTCAACTCAGCTTGTGCTTTTTGAAGTATAATTCTATTCTCAATTGTAAGCTCCTCCTCAAACAACATTTCATTCAACCAAAAATTATCTTCCCTAATTGCAAGCTCTTAATGATATCACCGTAGGCATCTTTGCTTCACTTAGATAATGCAATCTTAACCTTCTTCTATTTCTTCTTGGACATTAAAAAGGGATTCCCAAAAAAATTAGCCATCCAGTTTTGCCTCACCACTTCTTTAAAGTTCTCATGTTGAGTCTAGAAGTTCAAGAATTTGAATGGCTTGACAAACTGAGTAGATTCTTCTCCACGGTGCATCAGTAATGGTGCATGATTAGAACCTTTTTTGATGAGGTGTTCCACATCAATTGCTGGGAACAAATTCTGAACATTGCAGATTCACAAAAATTCTGTTAGCCTCTTGAATATACATTCTACATTATGTCTTCTATTCCACGAAGTGAAAGGATTCCCTTTGAAGCCTAGATCAAACAGTCCACACGAGTTGACATAAAAAGCAAAGTCTTCATATTTAGGTGATCATTATATGTTGTCCAATGACGTGATGAAATACAACAAGCTCCCACTCCATGCTCTTTATTCATGTTGCTGAAAAGGCCTGTTGTGTATTCACATACCTTATATTCCAAATCAGGGCCTTAATCATCATTTATGTTGTGAAACCGCCCTCTTAGGCAAAATTCTAGTTGGATGTGTCACTTCTTTATTCTGATTTTGTTTTCTGCCTTTATAACTACCCTTTGCACTAGCTCTAGGTGATAAGTCTGCTTCTCTTGCTACTTGTTTAAAGTTACATGCAGTTGATTCATCATCACTCTCTTCTTTAATATGGTTCTACTCCACCAAGGCATTTTTAATCTCCACAGGTGTAACATTATGAGTTATAATGTCATGTAAGACTTGGTTTGAGGACTTCAGTGGTACAATGATTTGCAATTGTAAATTCTGCCCAGTTCCTGAAGCACAAGCCGTAGGAACATTCAATTGCTCCAGTAGATAGAGGTTCTACAATCACTTCCATTTGACCTTGTTGTGTGTTGATATTCTCGTTAACCAACTGATCATTAAGCACATTATCCTCGCATAAACACCATGCTCAACCTCCTTCCTTTGCAAATCATTGGCAGAACCCAAATTAGGGTTTACTAATCCGTAAAAATAGTTTTTACTGTTTCATTAGTTTCAGGTAGTGGTCTTGCATTACCAGTCTTCACAACATCAATCACAACAACTAATTTCATACCCTGATCACTACTAGCATTTCCAATAACCTCAGGCCTAATTGGATTAGTTAAGACACCCAGATTAGGGTTCAGTGGATGTTTGTGGAGGCTGTATGGGTGAAGGAGACGATTGACCAACCTCTTTAAGAGGTTGGCCAGTGGTCAGATTGGCCATGGAAGGCTGCTCATGAAAATTGCCTGTGTTGCGCCTCAAATCGCCTATTTTGAGAGCTTTGGGTTAGGGTTTAGGGTTTAGAGTTTGAGTTTTGTGCATGTTTCTTGTTTAAACCTAAAGTTTTAGGTTAAATTTTATTGTTAGGATATGGTTTAAACCTAAAGTTTAGGTTAAAGTTTATGTTCAATATCAGTAGAATGGAATTATATTGCTAGAATTATGGTTGAAATATTAAAGTTTAAATTAATATTGTTAGAATCATGATTTGAATTTTTAAACTGAAGGTTGAATTATATTGATCGTAAGGTTTAAATCTTAAAGTTTAAGGTTGAATCTACATTTAAGGGTATAATTTAAATTAATATTGTTAGAATATAGCCTTCAACCTTAGCTCAATGCTCAATTTTTGTTACATTCATAAAACAGGACTCATAGAGAGTTAACAATGAAACAAACTCCAAATAATGGCTCTAGGCCGTTAAATCCTCTAGTTTTAACCCACGGATGAATCCTAGGTTCAAATCCTCCTCTTTGCCCAATCTTAACATTAATATATGGTTGTCGATAGATGATAAGTCATACTCATGAGTTAAGGAGGAGAAGTTTTCCGCTTTGAAGTTGAAGTTCCATAACATTTGGGAGATTTGGCGCGGAAGCTGAAAATATAGACAAAAATCATGGATTTGATAGTTGAACCCAAATTATTAGCCTAAGATTGTATAATTTAACCAAAACATGAATTTTAATCCTTCTTCATACCTTAAGGATTTGAAGATTTTGGGTTATGGCTCAACCCCTCTTCCTTGGGGTGCTCTTCCTCTCTTGGGTCGTGCTGAAATGATAAAAGAGGTTAGGGTTGCGGTTTATAGTAGAGGGTTGGAACCCTATGGAAATGGCCAAATACTCCCCCCCCCCCCCCAAAAAAA